GCAGATTTACATTGCCACATTTTTAGCTCTATCCAATGGCGTCAACATTTTTGCAATCCGACGTTTCGTATTCGAGGGGCAATCATGAGGTTAATTTTTTTTAATCCGTCGCTGCTGTGTATGACAAAATCTAGTCATTTTTAATTCTGAATTAGATGGTATTAGTATTGTAATCGCTTAAAAAGGTAGTTTGCTGAAGCTGTCATTTAAATTTTTTCCCCGAGTACGTCTTTGAACGCTTTCAAAATATCTATTGGAGGAAGTGATAACAGTACAAAAGTCAATACGCCACAAAATATTCAACAATTTTTTTTAATCAATAATTTAAAAAAGTTAAAAACTTAATAAAAAAATAATACGAATTTATGAAATGTTTTATTATTTCTAATCAATATTGATAATAGTAGTAATAAAAATTGTTGAATATTTTTGTGACTTTTATACTGTTGAGTATAAAAAAACAACTTTTTTCTAATTTGGGCCACCCCGTATCTCTTACTGTTTCCTAGATCCTAATGATATTCCATCCTTATCTTGGACACACTGTACGTGGGTTTAAATTAAGGTTTAGAAAGGGCACACATTTTTTAGATACTTGTTGTCATAATAAACAATGATCGATAATAAAAATACCAATTTTTTCATTTTTATAACCATTTATAATTTTTTTAAAATTTTTTAACATTTTCTCTATAAACAATTTTTTTTAATTAGATATAGAAAAACGAGAGGAATACGAATATGTCATCAGAAATCAATAAAATAAATAATTTTTGCACAAATTTTGAATTTACAGAATTATGCCACTTTCGCTTGCTTTTAAAAAATAGTTATATTATGATAATCAAGTTTTATTAGTTTGTGTTCATCAATGCATTCTACGAAATTCATGTTTTCATGATTAAATTAAAAAATATTTACAGGGTGGTTAAAAAAAAGTTATCGAATATGAAGTTCAGAAAATATGGAAAACTCAAAATTTTTAAATGGAAACCCCTATTTTTTTTTAGAATAACTTTGTGAATATTCTACTAAATCAAATTTTTTAAAGCAGGTATTAAAAGTCCTTGGAAATACGCTTCTTTAAAAAAAAAGCAGATCGCTTGGTCAATTAGTTACGTAGTTATAGCCGATCAAAGTTAACCGTCATTTACACTAAATGTACTGGAACATCCGGGCTAATTTTTCGAAAAATACCTTTGGTATTCCGAATAACTACTTAGCAGGTCTAAGATTACAATACTTTTCTTAATTGGCAACCTACTTTAAAACGTGTTTAAAGTTATTTATGCAAGCGAGAAATTCAAGAAAATCGTACGGGTGGTGGTGGTGGGGGAAGCAGAGAGCACGGCCGCTTCGGCCTGCTCGAAATTGAATCGGCGAGTTAAAAACCGTGACGCGATAAAAAATTTTTAATATTTCACCATCTAGGTTCGATTTTGATGATTTTTTTTAAATTTTAGCGTATTTTCAAATACCTATCATTAATAATAATTATTGGTCTTTCAACAGTTCGATAGTTATTTATCTATAAACTTCCTTTACTTATCAACTTTATTTTTCTATTGTATCAAAAGTGCATAAACTTATACAGGGTCGGAAAGTCCCCATGGTTCATCGGCCGTTACGTGAGAGCGACAAAGTAAGTCATAGAAATCCGTGCCATAGAGGAAGATGGCTGTAATGAAGGCGTCTAATAGCCACCGCCCATTTCGCCCTTCCACAAATAAAATCCACTTCTTATTTGTGGAAGGGCGAAATGGGCGGTGACTATTAGACGCCTTCATTATTGCCATCTTTATGGCACGGATTTCTATGACTTACGTTGTCGCTCTCACGTAACGGCCGATGAACCATGGGGACTTTCCGACCCTGTATCTGTTTATCAAAAATCAAAAACAAATTTATTTAAATATTCTGAAATTGTTTAAACAACAATTATTTTCAAAATATGACGAAAATTAGTAATATAATGAGTTAATTTCTCATTTGCTATATTTTAAACAATAAATAATATTTGATTTATACTTTAATCACAAAAGAAATTATGATTAAATTAATAAATTAATTATAAAAAATCAATAACTTTTAAAACCTGCTTTAAAAAATTTGATTTGGTTGAATATTTACAAAGTTACTCTAATTGTTTATCAGTACAAAAATTCGACCAATGTTTAAACAAGCGCCAGAGCTCTCCTAATTGATGGATTCGAATTTTTCAAAAAAAGTTTGAAAGCTTGTGAGCCCTTCTATATGTGATTAAATTTTCAAGTATCTAAGGGCCTTGGTTTTTGCTGTGCAAAATTTTGAAAATTTGCAGATTTTTTTTCAAAATCTGGGTTGCAAAATTATTATGCAAAATCTATAGAACCGATTTTGATGAAATTTGGTGTGATGATTCTACTTAACATGAAGTTTTCTTGAGCCAAGTATAAAGGTCCTATACCCAATTTAAATACCCCAAAAAAAATCCCTAAAAAATATTGTTTTTAACCCCATTTTTTCGATTTTTACCATAATAATCATGATCCATTCGATTTGTAACTAGTCATGTTTTGTAAACAATTTAATTACAAACATTTTTTTCCTCTTCTATTTTCGCCTAAAATCAACTATTGAAAAGATACATAATTAAATAGGAAGAAAAATGTGAAATTTTTCGAATTTTTTTAACATTTTGTGTCGCCAAAAGTTGAGCCCACGTTTTTTTTATGCGCATAGAAAAATTTTCATTTCTAGTGATATTTGAAAGCCAAAAAGCCAAAAATCACGGTGGATATAAGATTCACCCAAACCAAAACAGATACCGTCTAGTCTATGTAGATTGCGCCCCCTAGCGGCCGAGCTGAGAACTTAAAAACTATTCCCAGCGATTTATCTTGGTCGATTTATTAAAATAATGTTTTTCCCCGAAGTTCTAGGGCAGGGGTCGGCAAGTAATTTTAGGTGGGGTCCGGATACTTTTGAAAATTTTTAACGCGGTCCAGAAAAAAATTCATATTCCTTATTTTTTATTTTAATTTGGACTCAAATTTAATCTGCTTACTAATTAAGAACTCAAAATACTCTCACAATTGTAAAATACTAGAAAAAATGATAAGATTGGCACTTAAACGTAAAAAACATTTTTTAAATAATTTATTTGAGTAATTAATACTTTCAAAGAATTTTTGGCGGTCCAGTATTTTACCTTCCGCGGTCCGGACCTGGACCGCGGTCCGCCAGTTGCCGACCCTTGCTCTAGGGCCTATACTTTCTCTAATATCGTACCTTGCCGGCCTTAGTGGGACACCCTGTACAGTGAAATTACTCGAGAAAACTTGCTGTGAAACAGTGCTTTCAGATTTTAAAAATTCCTCTAAATAAAAAAGTTACACACGATTTTCGAAAACGCCACATTTAATTTTTTTCAAAATAACTCAAAAACCTGAAGAGCCAGGACCGGTCTACAAGCGGCATTAAGTTAGTAACAGAACTGTTTAAAACTGCCCCCGTCCAACCAATTTCCTATTTCTTATACGAGTAGATTCCATGCAGTGGCGGCCCGTGGGTTTGAATACAGGGGGGGCGCATTTTGAAAAAAGGACGTACATCATAAGAGCTGCGGGGGGTGTGGGGGTAGCGCCGCAGGTGAAAAATTTTAAGAAATTTGAAGGTCATTGTGTTTTGCAAGTACCCCAAAATGAATACTGTCAGTGTGTACAGTAGCTACTTAGATACAATGTGAGAAATAAAATTCCAACGTGTGGGGGCTGAAGTGGATAATCGATCAACCAACCCAGTTAGGATATAATTATGTAGATTACTGTAATAGTTCATTCTGTATAGTTTTTGAAGTTCCTTTAAAAACATGGGCATCACTAAGATGTTTATCTAAAACGGGATCAATTTTTGCACTATAGTCTATCAGTTCTAAAAATACCCCTTTGTTTACCGAGTCACTTTTTTTATTATGTCCACGAAGAGAAAGGTTACATGTACCACATAGTTTTAAGATATTTAAAATTTTTGAAAGAAGCAATCGATTTTTCTTAACTGTTTCGTTATGACTATTTACTATTTATTTGTTCTGCATAAGCACTATTTAAACAAGAAGCAATATTTACTTTTCCTAAAAGCAAAAAACTCACCAACTTATTTTTGTGTTTAGGAGAATATTCATGTTTCTTAATTTTAATTTCTAAATGTTTCAAGTCAGAAACTCCAGTTTTCGTCTAGTTTTCTTCGCCTCCTCCAAACAATAAACATACAAAACAAAAAAATCTATTTGTTTGGTCACAACCATACAACCACAGGGCCTTATCATAAATGTTTTTATCAAATTTGCGAAAGCCGGCCCACTTTTTGCACTCTTTCTGCACCTCAACTAAATTCAACACTGGCGTTGGACGTCCGTTATTTTTCAATTCGACTTTTTCCTCTAATCTTAAATTACTAATAACAAGTTTTTTATTTCACAAACCCTCATTTTAAACTTAAACTTATAAAATATAATGTTTTAAAAAGCGCCAAAGCAAAAACAAAACACATATAACCACACTTCAGTGATACGGGTTACTGCCTCATGGAGTCCCAAAACAAAGAGTGGGGATTGCGCGCGCGGTTAAACATATTAAACTCTTTGGTATGATCATAGATGGCAGATGGCATAAATCTGAGCTACGTTCACGGAGTACATGCACTTTATGCAACCAACCTAACATCCAAGAGATATTGAATGCATGCTATTTAGATTTCTTATTGATTTAAATAAATACATTATTTTAAGTTTATAGTTTGAAAATATCTGGGGGGGGGGGGCGGAGTCCCAGAGTCCTCCTTCACGAGCCGCCACTGATTCCATGATACCAAACAATTGAAATCCGAAACTGCAGTTCATATGTCAAATACATTTATTTACGCCTCTATGCGTAAAAAAAACAATACAACGAAAGTAACTATTAAACGAATGAAAAAATTAACTTCAAAAAATTGAACTTAACTTTAATTTAAACTTATCTTCATATGTTTAAATCGTCTAGATCGATGTCGCTGGTGTCGAAGATACTCCTCCTCCTGCCGCCAGTATTTCCAGGTTTCTCCTCCTCGGCACTGCCCTGCAGGTACTTATCGACAATCCTCTTAATATCGTCCTTGTTCTGCTTGTAGAACCCGTCCGGCGTCAAAGTCTGACTCTCTCCTCGTTGCGACACCTGGAATGTAATGTTCTGGATCTCCCCCACGTTCCCGGACAGCTGCTGGTTACTACAAGTCGTCTCCGATGCGGTCCTCGCAAACCGTTTGGTGACGCTGTTGCTTGTGTACTCGCCAACGTTGGACACCGTAGGCGCGAACTCGAACCTGCCCCCCTCGTCCTGGTTCTTGTTGAAGCTGAAGCTGAAGGTGTTGTAGTCCTTCTCGTTGGATTTCAGGTAGCTCTCGAACGGCAGGGCGTTCTTGTCGCTGAATATGGTTAAGTTGAAGTTGTTGTTAAAGAACTGATTCCTCCAGGGCGACGCCTTCCTTTTTTTCACCGGAGATTTCGCGGGGATGACCTCTACGCCGTCTTCGGTTTTTCTGATTGTCGCCACGTGGGTGCTCTTCTGGATCTGGCGCACTGTGGGTCTGTTGATGAGCTGTTGCAGGTATTTCGAGAAGTTGGAGGAGTTGGGGCTGGTTTCCAACATTCTTCTGTCTTGCTCATTGAATTCTTCCCTGATCTCCCTCGCGCTTAGCTTGAGGGGCGGTTTGAATTTTTTCTTGTAAACGGTGCGTTTCTTCACAATTTTGCCGTCCGTGCTGGTACTCTGCCCTTCTACGTTTCTTGGCTTGGAGAATTTCCTTTTCGGTGCTTTGGCGGCGGATCTACCGCCTTCGTCGCTTTCCTTCAAGCTGCTGGAATCCTCCGATTTATCCGACTCTTTCGTTTTATTATCCGACTTCTCATTGGCGCTTGTCGAATCAGTGGTTACTTGATCCAAGTTCCTCTTTTTGGAAGCGCTCGATAAACTCGTCATGGTTTTATCGCAAAACGTTTTCTTGTCACCACTTTCTTCGTGCTGGCTGGAGTCGGAGGAACCGCTCTGGTCCAGTTTCCTCAGTTTGGACGCGTGGGATATGCTGGTCAGCTCTGTTTTGTTTGGACTCAATTTTTCTTGTCCATTTACGACTTGGAAACACTTTTCTTGGTTTTTCTCCACGCTGATTTCCTTGGTTGCGGTTTTATCATCCGATGGTGATGTGACGAACTTGCTTGGATCATTTATTGCGGATATCTCGTATCCGCTCGAGGGACAGTTGGATCTTTCCGGTTGCGGTTCAATTTCAAAGCTAGACTCGCACGAATATAAAATATCTTCATTTTCTTCGACGAAACTCATAAATGTTTCGTTTAATTGTTGAGATCGGACCGTATCTTCGACGCTGTGAGCTGCGTCGAATGTGCTGTCAAATGTCTTGTACAAGTTCCCAACGGTTTGCTGTTTCTCTGGATTGACTCTCACTAATTCTTCCCTGAAGGGGTTTTCGTTAACACCATCATTTGTGAAGCAGTTGTTATTACAATAAACCTCAGCTAGTTTATTTTCTTGTTTGGAAATGTCCCCTTCTTCTTTCCTTAGACAAACTGGTTCTCTTGGAGCTATGAGGATATTAGAAATGACGTTGATCTTCCTTTGAGCGACCGGATCCTTCCTTTGGCTCACACCGCCATTATCTTCTGGTATGTCCTTGAAATTATCCTCGCCGAAAGACAGAGTGGTGTTATTTGGTCCTTCCACCACTTCCACAACCGGCACAATGTGTGGAAACTTTTCCTTCTGCGGCACCTGTCCAATTTTCTCTTTGGTCTCACTGCAGCTAGTAGATATCGACTTGTAAGTCGTATTTAGGACCTCCTCCTCGAAACCGTCGTCTTCCTCTCCAAAAATCCGACTGCAGGCCTCCAAATCGTCCTGGATGGATTCCAGATCGTAACCTTCCAGTGCGATTTGCTCTGGGATAAACGTACTGAGGTTCTTGCGGCTGTCGTTGGTGTTCGAAGATGTCGAGAAGTTTCGTCTGTCGTTTCCGTAGATGTGTACCAACGGCGAAGCGCTCCTCAACAACAAAGGCGCTCTACGTACGATGGGAGTTGAGGTTTTGGTGGCGTTGTTTTGAAGAGGCAAGGAAAACCGGATGTCGTTCATGTCTCCTAAACTTGGTGATCGGTTCGAGTTTTCTTCTGGTAGCTTTGGTGTCTCCGAACAACTTAAATGGATTTCTGGGATCAATTTGTGGAAGTTCTCTGAATTTTCTGCTATGAACCTGGACATATTTTCGTAATTAACGTCGTCTATGTTGGAATGGTTCTGGTATCCTTCGTAAACGCCGTCGTTGAAGTCATTTGTACGGTAGAAGTTTAGGTTGGGACAGCTTTGCTCCATACAGTTTGTGTAATGGATCTGTTGCGACGGTTCTGGTGTGAATACCGCCTGCATCCTCTCCACTGCCCTTTGTGTTCCTAAGACAGACGTTTGACTGGACAAAGAAGGTTCTGGAGTGAATTGCTGTCTCATAGCATTCGACATTCGTAGATCTTCTCGTATATCACCAAAGACGGAATGTTCAATCATTGGCAATTGTTGTACGGCGTTCCCTGTGAAGTTTGACCGTAGAGGTACCACGTTGATGTGGAAATCGAGCTTTCCCATCTCGTTCTGGTATTGATTCAACAGTTTATTTACTTCTGAAATGGTTAGTTTACGTTGGGACTTCAGCTTTCGGAACTGGGATTCGATCTTGTATTTGAGGCGAACTTTTTCATCTAGGGCAACAATTTTCGGGTCCTGTAAGGATTTAATTATCGTATTATCAGTGTAATCGAACAAGTATTTCTACCTTTGGTTTTTTCGAGATCTTGTCCAACAGAGCGTCGACATATCTGAGGATACTGTTAGGCCAAATGTTGCGCACGATGTAGACGCCATAGCGTTTAACATTTGTCACGCCAGGTATCAGGTTGTGTTTAAAGTCCAATTTGAAGGTTTTAGGATCTTCCCCTGAAGGAATGGTCTCCAAGTGCCAACTAAAAACAATTTTTTATAACATTTTTAACTCTTTAAGGGCTATACTTACACTTTTACGTTCAGGTACATATCGTAGAGCTTTGTCAGCAGCGTGAAATGCGTGGTGACGTATATAAATGCTGAGGATTGTGCTAGTTTTTCTACAATCGCTATTGCGAGAGCCGTGCCCTCTTCTAGAGATGTAGAACGGCAGATTTCGTCTATTATCACCAACGAATTCTCTGTCATCGTCATCATGATGTACTTTAGCTCTTTCATCTAAAATGTTTAGGGATATTCAAGTAAAGTTTTGTCGCCCTTATAGACCAGAGCGGATCTGTCGAAATATCCCACTTTTTGAATGTAAGAGGGGGCAAGTAGTGCAACTTACATAATAAAAATGTAGATCCCTAGATCTGGGCGATGTCAGAACATTCTCAAAATTGCAAGAATGTTAATTTAAAAAAATACCTATTTTATCCAAGTTTTTTACTTATATCTTGGAACCATGCATTTTGAAAGAATATTGAAGAGGAAAAGAGTTTTAAAATTGAATTTTGCACAATATGCTGTAAGTTAAAAATGTTTAAATTTATTACCGATGTTTTAAAATAGCAATAATTGTTGAAAAAAAGCAAGATAATCAAATTTTTTGGATAATTTTTTTTAAATATTTTAATTGCTCCGAAGGCATTCTAATTTTGGTAAAAACAACTTTAGAGTATAATAAAACAACACACCAAATTTCATTAAAATCGGTTCTAGGGGTCATCCATAAATTACGTAAGGGTTCAATGGGGAGGGGGGGCTCAACATTTTCTTATCATTCCTTACTTGGGGGGGAGGAGGGGGAATGAAATTCTTAAGTAATAAAATAATCTACATTAATTTTTCTATTTTTCTTAGTATATATGTATTTATAATATAACAAATATATTAATAAATGTTATAATTAGAAGTTGTAAAGCTTTTTTATAATAAAAAAAAATTAATTGAATCATGTAATGTATTACGTAAGGTGGGGGAGGGGGAGGGGGGTTATGAAAAATCTTACGGTTTCTTTACATGGGGGGAGGGGGGAGTTGAAAATGTGAAAAACTACCCTTACGTAATTTATGGATGACCCCCTATGGTTTTCGCAAAATAATTTTTTGAAAAAATTTTTTTTAAATTTTCGAATTTTCAAAATGTTGCACGGCCTCAAATAAAGCATCTAGATACTTGAAAATTTTTTCACATAGAAAAGACCGCTCAACCTTTCAAATAGTTTTTGAAAAATTGAAATCGGTTGATTAGGACGGCCACAGAAAATTTTTAAAGTTAACACTCTTTTTTTTAAAACAATTAGATTACATTTATCAATTTGCAATTTACTTTTTGTCAAAAATTATAATTTTAAAGTACTGGGAAAGACACTTCTTTAAAAAAATAAATAAACTGTTTATTGGTTCTCGAATATAAGCGGTCAAAGTTTATCGGCATTTACCGTCAATTTATAAACAATTTAGCAATAATCTTTGATCCAGTGGCTTCGTTTTTCCGAGTTCTAAGCTGGAAAAAATTTTCATATCCATAAGTTATCGGCAACATAGATAAATCAGCGGAAAGCTGTCGCTCGCATGCGCAAAAAGTGACTCAAAAAAGTGGGGGAGGGGACTTTCGCTCCGAGACTGAATTCGGAGGTTCAAAATGCGAAGGTACGAAAAAATTTGCATTATCTCGGCTTCTAATGGACCAATTTCGATCTTTTTCTTAATCCGATGTCTCGCGAGCCAAGGAATTCGAATATCGTAATTCGTACATATTTTGTTATAAACAAAGTTTATTATTTATATATTATTTTATATATTTTACCGTTGCATTATTTCAATGAAAAAATTTGTTTACGTATATATTTGAACACTGAATATGAATGTAAGTATTTAGTTATAATTATTACATTTATTTAAATAATTTGTGTTTAAACAAATTAAAAATATATATTTTTGATTTGGAAATTAATTTCTTTGTTAAATACAGATAAAATTAAGAAAAAATAGTACTTTAAAATTATAATTTTTGAAAAAAACTAAGTTGCAAATTGATAAATTAATCTAATTGATTAAAAATAAAAAACAGGGTTAACTTTAAAAATTTTCTGTGGCCATCCTAATCAACCGATTTCAATTTTTCAAAAACCATTTGAAAGGTTAAGCGGTCTTTTCGATGTTAAAAAATGTTCATATATTTGAGACTGTGCAACATTTTGAAAATTCGAAATTTTTTAAATTTTGTTCAAAAAATTATTTTGCGAAAACTATAGAACCGATTTTAATGAAATTTGGTTTGTTGTTTTATTATATTCTAAGGTTTTTTTTACCAAAATTAGAATGCCCTCGGAGCAATTAAAATATTTTTAAAAAATCATCCGATAAACTTGATTATTTTGCCTATTTTTCATCAATTATTGTTATTTTGCAATATCGATAGTATAAATTTAAACATTTTTAACTTACAGTATATTGTGCAAAATTCAATTCTAAACCTTTTTTCCTTTTCAATATTCTTCCAAAATGCATAGGTTCCAAAGACGTAAGTAAAAAACTCTGATAAAATAGGTATTTTTTAAAAATGTTTAAACATTTTTGCAATTTTGAAAATCTTCCGAGCCTCGCTCAGATTTAGGGATCTACACTTTTATTATGTAAGTTGTCCAAAGGTAATCCAGAAAAAAATTGCTTGCCCCGTCTCACATCCATTCAAAACAGATTCGCCCTGCCCTGGTCTATTTGTTGTAGACCTGAAGGCTACTATGAAAATGAACAGAACAAAATCGCGTCGTAAGCTTTTATACCACTTTTACATTTATATCAAGCCGCGAACCAATTAGAATTAATCATCGAAACCCTCAGTTTACTTTTCTTAATTTCGAAAAATTCTTCTAGAATGTTCTAGAATAATGATGAAATATGACGAAATGTTGCGAAACATGATGTCACGATTCCTAAATGCGTAATATTTTAGGGAAAAACACCCTTAAGGACCTCAAAATTGTATATAAAAGAAAGGATTTTTCAGGACGAAAATCAGTTTTCTCATCGACAAGTATCCAAGTTAGTTATCATCCGATGTACGGGATATAAACTGATATAAATCTACAAGTTATATCGTTCGTGATTGCTCCGAGTTTTTATCAGAATTCGACAAAATAGTTCATCACGGTTTAATCGCGTGAAACAAAATCAGTCTGTCCGTAATTACTCGTAAACGTTGATTGCAAATAGCAATTAAAAAGTTAGTTTCGGGAAAAAGCCGAAAAAGTTAGTTATACAGAGGATTACCTAAAAAAGTGGTTAGTAGAAATCCGCAATTTTTTTGTAATTAGTTTAATCAGTTTTAGTAAAGTTAATTTCATATACCTAGTACTCTTTTTTGTACGGTCTGGTTGTTTGAATTTTGTTATTTTTCTGGATTTTTGTGTATAGATCATTCCAGAAATTACTATTACTTTCTATTTGTCAGGTTAATAATTTTTTAACCATTAATCCTGTTAATATTATTACCATTTTTCTACTATAGAAAAATACTCGTACATTTACTTATTGTAATGTACCTTTTATATTTTTATAAACTTGTTTTTTCTGAAAAAAAAAGTTTTTTTGTAATATTTTTTTTTTCAGTCAAAAATAGTTTTTCGTAAAAAAAGATTTTGGAATAATTTTCAAAATAAATTTTTTTTAACACAAAACTTATTTTTCACACAGCCCAAAAAAATATTTTATAAATAATTTTTTTTTAGTCAAATTTAGTTTTTTCCAAAAAACATGATTTTTTGATTTTTTTTTTTACAAAAAAATTTAAATTCTTTAAGGAACTTAGTCCATCATGTTTTAGTGAAAAATATTTTTCTTCAAAACTTATTCTTCTAACATCCTTTTTACTTTTATTTTGGGAAAAATGGTGTGGACCAACATTTAGGAATTTTTCGTGCTATTTTAAAGCAATATTTTCAGTTAATTTCGGAGATCTTTATCAGTTGGATAATTTTTAAATCGCATGGATTGCTGACTATAAGGATCTGTCGTTGATAGTAATAGACCGATCAAAATCTGGACTTTTGTAAGTGGAAATGGTAAAGGGGCTTATAATAAACGAAAAAAACAAAAAAGTATGTAATACAAAAGTTGTAAATCATGCAAAAATCTACAACTTTTGTAGAGGTAATTTTTTAACATAACCTCAAAATTTCTGAGAAAAATGCGAAAAACAAGTTTTTTCTGATTTTTCGTTTTTATTTCTCATTTCCGCAAAAATAATTTAATTTTGACGAAACATTTTTTTCGGCCTGAAACACTTTTTTCAAAGAAAAATTCTACTTTAAAAAATCATCGTACAGAGTTCTGTGGGGAATCATTTTCTTCGTTTTGACATGCCAAACACTTTTGGCAAAAAAGTAAAAAATGACTTGCAGCAATGAATTTTTCAGTAATTGTTGATAATTTGTTTTAAATTTAAAAAAATCAAAAACTGATTACACTATTCAATTGTACGGAAAAAATACAAAAAAAATTCATTGTTTGACCCAAAACTATTTTTATACAGTATTGCTATAACATAAGTCGAATAGTGAGTAAATAAAATAAATAATATTTTTTTTTCCGTAGGATCGATTAGTGTGCACTTATTTTTTTTAAAGTTTGATGAATTCATAGATATACAGTGTGTCCAAGATAAGGATGGGATAGCATTAGGATCTAGGAAACGATAAGAGATACGGGGTGGCTCAGATTAGAAAAAAGTAGTTTTTTTTATACCTAACAATATGCTGTTTAGAAAGTTTTAAAATTTCGGGTAGTTCCGGAGATATCCGGAAAACCCCTAAATTTTGCAAAATTGTTTAATTTTTTTCTGGCTTTAGTTGAAAACTAATTTTAAAATAAATTACATATTTATAATGCCACTTTTTCGCTCTATACAATAGCGTCAACATTTCTGCAATCCGACGTTTCGTCTTCGAGGGGCCATCATCGGGTTAATTTTTTTAAATACGCCGCTGCTATTTTGATGACAAAATCTAGTCATTTTTAATTCTGAATTAGAGGATATTATTTTTTTATTAGGTACAAATTTTTAATTTATGGATTAAAAAAAATTGTTGGATATTTTGTGCTGTATTGACTTTTATTCTCTCCTCTCTCTCTCTCTCTCTTTCTCTCTCTCCTCCAATAGATGCACGTATTTTGAAAGCGTTCAGAGCCGTTCTCAGGAAAAATTTTTAATGATAGCTAAAAACCTTTTTAAGCGATTACAATGGTAATATCATCTAATACAGAATTAAAAATGACTAGATTTTGTCATATATTTAAAAAAATTAATCTGATGATGGTCCCTCGAAGACGAAACGTCGGATTGCAAAAATGTTGACGCCATTGGATAGAGCGAAAAAAGTGGCAATGTAAATATGCAATTTATTTAAAATTCGTTTCCAAATAAAGCCAGAAAAAAAATTAAAACGATTTTGCAAAATTTCGAGTTCTCGGATTTTGCGTCAACAGTAGACTTCGCAGTTAATACTTTGTTTTGCTGAAATCTCAAATCATCCAGAGACAATTTATCATTTGTGCATTTGTAATTCGACTTAGATGTTTATAGCAATACTGTACAAAAATAAAGTTTTGGGTCAAACAATCAAGACAGTTCTTTTTTATTTTTTTCGGTATTTTTTTAATTTAAAGCAATTATCAACAATAACTGAAAAATTCATAGTTGCAAGTCATTTTTTATTTTTTTTTGCATTTTGAGTATGTTTTTGAACTGTTATTACAGATTTTTTTATTTCACCAAAAAAGCATGTCACAACGAAAAAATTATTACCCGCAGAACTCTGTACGATGATTTTTTTAAGTAGAATTTTTCTTTGAAAAAAAAGTGTTTTTTTAGGTTTATTATAAGCCCTTTTATTATTTCCACTTATAAAAGTCCAAGTAACAATTTTTTTTTTCTCCAAGTGTAATTTGCTTGGACTATAAAGCAAGCGCGACCATATGAATCCACTATAAATCAATGTCAGAAGGAGATTATTGTTAGTTCTTAAGCATCTAAGTTTTTGTCACATTTCGCTTATGGTTCATTCTTTTGGTCGTATGTCCCTTGTTATTGGAGAAGATCTTCCAAACTTTATATCACTAGAATCCTCAGAAAGCTTCTGTCCAAATATCTAACACCCACCTTTTGAAAACATTTCTCAGTATAAAAGTAAAATTGATATACCGACAAATAACGTTGTTGAAGTTATGTACATGTTAATTTTGTGTTTGGTCTTAACGTGTCTGTCCGGTAGACAAATAATTCTTTTGGTTCCAGCAAAATAAAAGTAAGGAAAACAAAGTAAATGGCGTGCAAGAACAGCAAGCGAACAAGCCATATGCACGTCACAAACAAAATTCTGAAAAGGGGAAGAGGAATAGTGACAATCAGAGGCCACAAGAAAGGGGCAAAAATCGAAATGGGACTGACGTCAATAAAGAAAAGGTAACTACTTGTAAGTTGTTTTTCTATTATAAATTTTAAAAGTATTTCCTCGTAGGTGAAGAAACCGCCGAAGCACGAGTCGATTGACAAAGAGATAGAGGCCATGGCGAATGTGATCAGGTCAGACAACGAGAAGAAGATGGTGCAGCTGAAAAATATTTCCACGGCTCTGAATTTTCCATCCCCCCAACAAAAACCCGTCGCTGAAGTCAAATCAGAAGACTGGACTTCCCTTCAAGGTCAATTCGGTTGGGCGGAGATCGCAAACACAGCTATTCCATATCTAATCAGGTCCGGAGAAAAATACATTTCCTTGCGTATGGCCGACAATAGGATCTTCGTCAGATACAAAAACGTCTTCACCGACGAAATCCGCAGCTGCTTTCGCGTGAAGATCCTCCACGCCACGTCGGCGGAAGCGCAGCTGTTGAACGAGATTAACTTTAGACACTGCGATAATTTCTACGGAAGACTAGAGTTCGCCGTGGGAGACGGCATAGTATCCTTAAAGGATATCACGGAGACGTACAATTTCCTCAATTTTTGCCATCTAAGACTCGTAGAAAGGGTGTCTGTACCTCAAAATCGATGCGGATTCATCAAAATAGCCACCCAGAACTGCGTCCCGTACATCTGGCACGAAAAAAAGAAGTTCGTGCCTCTTTTTTACTTCGAGGGGGAGTGCAAATATCTGGAGGAACATTCCATGGCCTTGTCAGGGTGGGACTTGGCATATCTGAAGCTATACTGCAAAATTCAAGGCATCAGGAAGACTTTGTACGAGGGAGAGGCTATACGCGTCGTGGAGTTGGAGTTAGTGAAGAAGTTTTTCCCTCCCGATACGGCCTTCGAGGAGAATTGGCCGGAAGATTACAAAATCGACGGTCTCGTACAAAAACCGGTTCCCAAAGTGGTACTCTCCCAAGTACAGACCAACACGAGACAGAATATCCCCAAAACGAATGTGAACATTCAAGACGACGTGAAGAAAAAGGACGCATCTATTCCGCAAAGGGAACAATTGACTGTCGCACCTAAAACGAATCCTGCAGTTGGAGCGACCCAAAATAATTCGAGGTCAACCCCGTCGCTTCCCAGCACCACGACCAACAGCTTGCAAGTTCCCCCGTTGATCTTCCATTCGAACCAGCCTAGACCAGCGTTAAAAAATACCAAACCGACGGCAGTAGGCGCTCCTGCACCCAGAACGACGGTACCTCCGACACCAAACAGTACCAACCATCAAAACACCTTCCCACCAGGTCCTCCAGCAACGATTTTGAACAATATGGCGCGTTACAGACCCTTCATGGCGAAACCCCTTACATTCCCGGATACGTACCAGCGGGGTTCGAGGGTCTTGCAGATTCCGGAAGTGACCTGCAACAACGCGTACTTCGTGGTTAAGACTCAGGTGGAGAACAAGTTCTTCCAGTGCTGCGTCAACCTGGAACCCTTCCTGACCACCATCTTGCTCGTGTCGCTGGAGGAGAGCGCCTCGTTCTTCCAGATGCCCTTAGATCTGGTCATGAACGCCGTCAACGTAATGAATCTCGATATATTCCTGCCCAATAAGATGCAGAAGAGGGAGTTCGAGAAGTTTAAGGTGTACTCCACCAGGGGTCTGTTGAAGCTGAGGGAGTTCATCGACAACCTGCCCCAGCTCAGGTACATCTTGAACAAGACCAAAACTTTCGACTAATGATTTTTGTTCCTTTTTGCAACTTGGTGTGTGATATTACCCGACTGTTAGGTCTAGGATGTACAGTTTTTTTTTTGATTCGCAATGTAGTAATAAGGAATAATTTATTTTTAGAGGTGTTTTGTTAGTTGTTCTGTTTGTAGTTGAATAAATGCCTGTTTTGAATGATACCATGTTTTTTTTAATTTACGCCTAAAATTTAAAATATCCGGAAGTTTAGCAAAAATTTCGGCAGATTGTAAAAGAATTTTTTATAATTCATATTTTGTCATAATGTTTTTCGAGGAAACATTATATGAAAATTTAAATTCTTGAAAGGTTTAAATTGCCTTTATTCACTAATATTCCAGTCGAATTAGATCACGAATCCTAAAAACTCGAAAAAATGATTAATAGACATTTTATTGCGCTTTATGAACGAGAAAGAAAAATATCAAAAAGTTGAAATTAAGTAGCCCTTTACAACTAAAAAAGTAGAACCTGTAAAACGGCATTATAAACAAATTGTCCCGGGATCAGACAAAAGCCGCTCGGGGATTCGTTCTTTTTTGCATTAAATAGAGCTTATTTTTACGATACTTTAAAAAAAGGAGATGTCACCTACGCCTCTTTGTTCCCAAGATAACTTTCTTTCATAATGTTAATTGTTAATTAATTGTTAGACGTATCGGACCGGGATTTTAGAGATAATTAAAGAAGGGGTTAAACTTTTGTTTCCAAAAAGTTTCACATTGATAGATGAGGTAATAAGCGCGCTAGCGGCAGTAAAAGTTTACGTCAATGAACGGCCTATACGCGGGAGAAGGAGCGCCGAGCCCGCGCACGCGCGTGAACGCCGCCCTCGGTCGTGTAACAAAATAACAATAGACCAGTAAAGAGATCTATATTTTATTGCATGAATCGATAGCTGATGTCCGTAGCTGTCCGTTCACTTATTAGCACTCTGTGCACAAATTTTTTGAAATTTACTATGAAATAGGAAGTCTGAATCAGACAGAGTTGCCTAAACGCCATACGGTAATACGACACATTTTGCATATCAAGATATGACCTAAAGACCTGGTTTTAGCTAAGTGTTCTATGAGAAAATAATACCTCTTTATTAGGGTGGCCCAAAAAAAACGATTCTTTTTTTCGTGTCTTGTGAAAATATGTTAGTTTATATTGTTTTATGAGCCCCCTCAAAAAATCGCTCAAGATTTTTAAAATTCCAAAATCGTTAAAAATTGCATTTTTTAAAATATTTTTTCTCGTTATATCATTTTCTAGGTTGAAAAAAAATCTCGATTCTGAAAATTTCAAATCGATATTTTAATTTCTAAAGGTCAACTCATAATTATTTTTAATTTAAAAGTAGTGTGCCTAGTGTTTTCGAGCGACCTCTAAAAATAAATATCAACGAACTAATAATTTTTTTTATTGAATTTGATGAACAAAAGAATAGAAATAAATCACGAGACACTTAAAAAATTTCTCGAAGCAAAATTTACTACCGCACTTATGAAATATAATTTTTTAATTTTTTAAAATTTAAGTGTCGTGATTTATTTATATCCTTTTGTTCATCAAATTCAATAAAAAAACAATTGTTAGTTCGTTGATATTTATTTTTAAAGGTAGCTCGAAAACATAGGTACACTACTTTGAATGTTAAAATAATTATGAGTGACCTTTAGAAATTAAAAAATCGATTTGAAATTTTCAGAATCGAGATTTTTTTCGACCTAGAAAATGATAAAATAACAAGAAAAAATTTAAAAAAAAATTCAATTTTTGACGATTTTGGAAATTTTTAAAAATCTTGAGCGACCTCTAAAAAAATTTTTTTGAGCTGATTTTTTGAGGGGGCTCTTAAAACATGACAAACTAACATATTTTCACATGAGACACGAAAAAGAAATCGTTTTTTGGGCCATTCTACTCTTTATATTGTAGTTAAAATCAACTAGTTAAGCTGTTTGTTGTAATTACTGTCTGTAGTTTTTTTTCTAAATTATTCTATTATTTATTATTGATACTTATTCCGTACTGTGATCGAGCAAGCATTTTAGGTTTGGTACTTCTAAATCTAATAAAAACCAATTTTCACTATTGAAAGACTTCCCAAAACCCTTAAGTCGCGCGCGAGATTTTGAATTTGAAACGTTCAAGTCGTAAATCTCGCACGCGATCGAGAGCGAGGTTCACGCGCACGCGCGGACCTGGCGCTCCTACTTCCGCGTGCAGACGTTCATTAACGTTGACTTTTACTGCTGCTAGCGCGTTTATTACCTGAACTATCAATTTTAATTTATTTATCTCGATTAAGATACGATTTTTTTTTCTATAATTTTTTTTATAAATAAGAGATTGTGAAGGGGCCTCAGGATTATCATTAATTAATTAATTAATAATATCGCAGATATAATATATATAGATAATTATTAGTTTTAGTTTTGATAATTCGTACTCATGGTAATGATTATATTGTAACTAAATAAGTTCTATTTAATGCAAAAAGAGCGAATTCCCGAGCGACTTTTGCCTGACCCTGGGACAATTTGTTTATAACGCTGTTCTGTTTTCAACTTTTTAAAATTTTTCTTCTTCGATGCGTTTCTTTGGATCAATTAGAACCTATGTTTACGATATTAACTTCGAAAATTAACGTTTAGTAATTAAACAATTAGTTGCAAAAAACGAACGGAATCAATTAACAAATACCTGGAGCAACAATTTCACGATCAATCGAATCAGCGTTTGGCACACATGTTGGTCATTGGATTGATCGTGTTTTCCATAAATTTCATCAACATCCAACGCTTTTTGCAATAATAATGTGCAATTTTCGAAACCTGATTTTTTCGCGTTCGACCTCTATTTTACAGTTACCTAACAAATGACTTTAGGTAGGTACTTTCTAATTTTCCGATAGGTTGTCTAGATTTTCATGGGCAGTAAAAAAAGTGAAAAAAAACACGTAATTTTACAACTTCTTTGAAATTTGCCAACTTAGCGTCACTTCTTTCGAGTTAATTTTTTGATATCATCATTCTACAACCCTTCCTCATCATAAAGTGCAATCAAATGTCTGCTAATAATTTTTTCATGTTCAAACTAACTCTAATTCGACTAGAGTATAAAATACTGTTTATAACGTTGATTATAAAAAAATAAAAAATCTAAAAGAAAAATGTCAAACAAAAATTGATTGCACGCATTAAAAATCTGTTAAATCATGTTTAATAACTTTCAAAAAATTGTCATAAAGTTTAAAAGTAATAATTTACTCTATCTTCACGGAATTAAAGACATTCTTTGGGGAAAGACGTCGACTAATAATTACACATATTAAAGCTTTACATGCCTTCGAAACGTGACGGACAAATGATTACTATGAGTCGAAAAATGGTTTAATTCTATTTTGAATTACATTGAGCCTGGTGGAGTGATAGTCATGGATAACGCGCCCTGCCATAGTCGACGAAAAGAAATATTGCCAACACCTTTATGGAGAAAAGGAGGGACCGCCTAGCCGGGTGTCTTGGCCGGTGGATTTCGATCTGCCGAGGCAAGCATCACGGACGCAGGCTGGAATTTGGATGGGTGACCCAAGGCAGGCTCGGGGACGTGGCTGTGGCAGCCTGCCAGAGACCTGGCAACATTTGCCGCATGCGTGTGGTCCTCGATAAACGGTAATGAGAATAAAGCAAAGAAAATCTCTGTAACTCGGGACCATGCTATCATACATAAACTGTACGAGACTTTGCCACCAAGCCACCCGTGTAGTAAATAGGATGGTTTGAAGAAAAGTAGGTACTCGAGTAATGAAGGAGGGTGTACAAGGGGCCTAATAAGGCCTAAGTGCCGCGGTGGCAAAACAATTCCACCACCCTCCGACATACATACATACATACATACATACATACATACATACATACATACATAATACATACATACATACATACATACATACATACATACATACATACATACATACATACATACATACATACATACATACATACATACATACATACATGGAGAAATGTATGCAATGGATAGATTGTGAGAATGGTTGAATGGAAAACATATTGAATATAAAGTCGCAATAATAAAAGTATAACAGCAATTGCTAAAAAAAAGCCAAATACACAAAATATGGAGTTGATGGAAGGTATAAATAGTCCAATCAATAGGTAGAAGAGCTTATAAAAAATACTACCTGGAAACAAAAAATATGGTGATATAGGAAAAAAAATTCTAAGATAGTGTTTTTTCCTATGGCGCATAAACGGCGAAGTTAACCTAAAAAATTCACAAAGTCAAAATAACGGTTTTTCGCTAATAAAAAAAACTTGAACTTCAATGGAAAGAAGTTAAATGATTAAGTTGTAGCTATTAAAAAACCTATCAATCCGCATTTTTAAATATATCGAGTGCTATATTACTTTTCGAGATATATCGAAAAAACCGTCAAAAATTGACTTTTTTGTTTTTGCTATATCTATTTTGAAATTTGCTACTTGTTGTAAATGTAGACCTCGGCAAGCAAAAAATAACAAATTTCAAAACCTTAATTTATAAGAGATACAGCAAAAACAGAAAAGGTCGATTTTTGACGGAATTTTCGATATATCAAAAAGTAATATAGCAATCGATATATTGAAAAATACGAATCGATAGGCTTTTTTGAACTGTTACAATTTTCTCATTTAACTTTTTTCGATTGGAGTTTAATTTTTTTTTATTTGCAAAAAATCGTTTTTATGACATTTATGAATTTTTTAGGTTAACTTCGCCATTTATGCGCCACAAGAAAAAAGCACTATCTTTCGTAGAATTTTGTTCCTATATCACCATATTTTTTGTTTCCAGGTGATATTTTTTGTAAATTTAATTTTAGGCAGGTACAAAATAACGAATGTAGGACCTTGATAAAAGAGATGAAATTGTAATACAATCAGTTATACATTTGATCAGTGATAGCGTTAGTGACTGTGGTGGTGGTAGTGCCTACCTACCTATTGGGCGTTTGGACATACCAAGATGGGTGTAAATTTGTTAGGATGATCTAGACATACCAAATTGTCGTTCAATATTTAACAAATTTTGTAACCTTTTAAAGTGATACGCCCATGGAATCGCATTCCCTGCACATCTTACCCGTCGCAAAAATCTAAATGCTAAGAACCAGCGAATGAGTCATGACCAGTGGTATGTTTTTTTAAACAGTTACGACCTGGAACGATACGTTTTTCTAAGACTTTCAGTTATCTTTGATATTATTATTTTTTTAAATTCAAATAAAAAAGTTATGATTACTTTAAAAAAATAAAAATGCAAAATATAAATTAAAAAAGTTACTTTGAGGTTATGTCACACCACTAATAGAGTGAGAAGTTATGTAAATGTATTATTTTTACAAACCTCCAAGATGAAGGTGGAGGCGCCGTACTCCATGTTGTCCTCCAGGTAGATCCTGGCGTACATCCGGTCCGCCGGCCGGAAAATGGCCGTCTGCGCGGGCACGGAACACCCCACCTGGGCCATGACCTGCAGCAGCACCACCTGCCGGATGAATATACTCTTGCCCGAACCGTTCGGACCCGTTATGATGTGGAGGTTGTAGTCGCTGGAGCAACTCTGGAACGATCCGAAATAGAGTAAAACTGCCACCTAACGACAACCTGGTCATCGTTACTGGGCATTAGCACATGCAATGGTGACGTCAGTAATAGTAGTTATAGAAGTCAGCAGAAATGACGGTAAATCATGGGAAATTCTTTATGTCGAGGGGAAAATCGCCTGGAAAAATTAATTAGAAGTACTGTTACACAAAAAATAGCCATACTCAAATCGTACAGACATACAATAAGTTTGAATTGCTTTGAGCAATCTTTTACGCAAGCTGTATCTGGGAAACGAATGATCACACGAACTTTTTTGGGGTCCTCTGTACGTTTAAAATTTTTAGTACTGCTTTTACCATTCGATCACCACTGAGGTGACGTCATGCGCGAAGCCGCGAGGCTTTATAATCCGACTGGCACCACTACTTACTATATAATTCGGAATCGGCTTGGTGGACAGCAGAAAATCCAGCAGGGGGTGGCGGGCGAAGGTAACCTCGGTGAAGTCCCCGAATTTCGGCCTCACGTACCCGTTCCTCACGCTGCACTCCGCCAGGGACTGCAGCAGGTCCAGGTACGCGATCTCTTCGCAAAGCTTGTAGAACAGGGTTACGTATGTCCTTATGTCTACGATTATAGAGTGCACCATGCTGAAAATGTATAGATTCTACTGTACTGTAGCCTTGTAATAGACGACGGAAAGTCTTACACGTTGCTGATCCTCAGTATGTCGGCCATAATGTCGTCCAGTCTGGTAGATAGATTGACGAGTTCTGGCGTTTTCATGGTGAAGCTGCCTGCTAGGCGGTACACCTAAAATGTTGTTTTTTTCTGTGATATTTTAAAAGGTAGGTATTTGATTTTTTTTGCAGTAAATTTCACAAATATAGTCCATTTTTTATACAGATTGTAATTATTATAAGTGTGGATCAACTTTTTAGAGGTAGATGTTCCCTAGAATACTAGTCTGAAGTAACTTTGTTGTAATTACGTAAATAGTTGAATTCGTTTTTTCAACTGCATTAAAACTCATGTCTACGCCGTTACGGAGTAACTTCCGAACTCATCTGTACGCGCAGGCTTGTCGGTGTAACCTGTTGCTATCTTTTTAATGCAACCGTGTGAAACTAACGGAGTGGCAGAAAATTTGAGAAAACGAACTCATGAGGTGGTCTCTGTATAAATATGGCCGCATTCAAAGGTATTAAAAAAAGTCACAATGAAAAGACTATGATTCGATCGGTTTTCAGAATCAATAAAGATGGAGGGTCAATTAGGCTCGTTTCGGCCCTCTTCAGCACAGACGAGCCGGTGAAGCAAGAAGAGCGGTAGAAGAAAGGGCCCTAGCCGGCGGGGCCCAGCCAGGACAAAAGGAGGTCCCACAAAGCGCCTATACCGGCCGCATTTGCGGTCGGGGTAGACGACGGATGGGGCCCACCTACGAAGACTGTCCAGGCCTACACGAGATGAGGCAGGATAAAGAGGGATAATTCCCCTCGATCCCAAATCATTGAGGCCAATTTCTAGCCATCGAATATTGGCGCGCGTGGCGCGGCTCCTTCATTTTTGGCCAAAAGAAAACATTTTTTTTTATTATTTATATCCAGTAACTAAACAATTTCACCCTAAACGGGACCTCTTCCCTCCTTCTTAGTCAGGATCAAGGTCAATTAGAGGCCAGATTGAGAAAAAATGCATTAAATCAAAATGCATTAAATTAAAGGATCTCGGAGTTTAGGTTTTTTGGATCGCTGAGTCCGAAGCGGAGGTTAGTTTGTCTGTATCAGGCCATTTTAAGGTTGTTTCAAGGTAATTTCAAGGTCAAATTGAGAAAAAGCCGAGCAATCAAGTCCAACCACCACCTGTTATACAGGATTTTGGATTCAAACTCGGAGACTTCAAAAATGGTAATCGATTTGTCGGTTTTTTCTTGGTTTGACTTTTAAATGACCTTGAAATAACCCTCAAATGACCTGATGTAGACAAATTGACCTTAGATTCGGATTCAAACCCCCAAAAACCTATACATCAGGCGGTTAGACCTAAATGCTCGGTTTTTTCAATTTGACATTGAAATGACCTTGATACAGACAAACTAACCTCGAATTCTACCCCAGCGACTCCAAAATCANACCTGATGTAGACAAATTGACCTTAGATTCGGATTCAAACCCCCAAAAACCTATACATCAGGCGGTTAGACCTAAATGCTCGGTTTTTTCAATTTGACATTGAAATGACCTTGATACAGACAAACTAACCTCGAATTCTACCCCAGCGACTCCAAAATCACGCGTGACAGGTGGTGGGACTTGATTGCTCGGCTTTTTCTCAATTTGACCTTGAAAAGACCTTGAAACCTAAAAACCTAAACTCCCAGATCCTTTAATTTAATGCACTTTTTCTCAACCTGACCTCTAATTGACCTTGATCCTGGCTAGGAAGGAGGGGGAAAAGTTCCATTTGGGGAGGAATCGGTTAGTTATTGGATATAAATAATAATATTTATTTTTTTTCATTCTTTTAGCCAAAAATCAAGGGGGACGAAAACCGGCCTAATCGACCCTCCCCCTTTCAAGTTGAACAATCCTGTATGTATGTTCAGTATAGGCAGATAGATGATAATAAAACAACCAAATGTTATAAACAGACTGAAGACTAAATAAATACATATTTTTGAAAGAAATACGAATCATCTGGTCTAGAGACAATAAATCCTTACCTCAATGAATTCTTCCGGCAAGTCCGATTTCTTCATGTACCTCTTTTGCTTTTGGTTCAAACTGAGGACCATGTGGTGACCCTTTGTCTGGTTGTTCCCTAGCGTTAACGCTAAGTCGTATTTTTCTGCTAATTTTTTTACGTATTCTGAAAAAGTTTGAGTATCGGGAGTCGAACAATAAATTCCATATAAAAAACAAATTTCATTGGTCTGTTAAACAAAATCGAATCCAAGTTGAGGATATCGAAAGATACAAGGTGGCTCAAATTAAAAATTTATGAAACGGCAAAAAAGACATTAAATTCAGTTTTTAAGCATTATGTGGCTTTAGAAGGTTTATTCCTACTTATTATTGTTTAAGACAGGGCTCTATTTAAAAAAAATGGAGATGACGGTATCAAATCGAAAACGAAACGCCGGAAGGCAGAATTGATGTTTCTATGAAAAATTATTTAAATATTGTCATTTAGGAGTGTTGCTTTTTTGCTCCAGCTCTGATCATATCAGGGAAAAAATACATAGAAAACGAAAAATATTCAGATTTGTTTAAAAAATTAAAAAGAACATTTGAAATCTGTTTATAAAATTGCAGTGGTGCAACTATTTTGTAATTTTGAGTCACATTGTATTTTTCGTCGTTTAGCTGAAACACTTCCAAAATTTTGAGTAATTGGCCAAAAATACTGAAAGATCACCGAAAATCACGTTAGTGATCGCAAAAATATTCGGAAAAATTTGTTCTGAATTTGATCAAGTGGGTTTCTCGTGTTTTTTTGAATCCAAATATGAATTCTTTCTCTGCATTCCTCCAAATTTTGCAAAAATGCAAAATAATAGCGACAAATCACCGAAACTAGCGAGGAATCGCCAAAAATCATGTAGTGTGCGCCAAAATCTTCGAAAGCGGTTTTCTAGATTGGATCTTTTCGTAAATTTTGTCGAGACGAATTTCAATCTAAATTCTGTCGAGCCTCATTACCCAAATTTTGTAAAAATCGCAAAATACGACAAAAAAAATGGAAATTGTGAAATCCAAAAAATCTTAAACAAATGTCACGGATATGAATTACTTCCAAATAAATTCGACTGGATTGGCTGGAACCATGCTTTCTATAATGTTGCTCTTTTTCTTCTCTTATAGCGAACTCTTCTCTTCATATCAGGCTTGTCGGACGGTGACTGTAATGCGAAATTGGAAGAAGGTATTTTTGATGGTCCTCAAATTTGTACTCTTTTTCTAAACGAAAATTTCATTACAAGGATCAATGACGTTGAAAAAACAGCAGAGCAAAATTTCAAGAATATATCTCGGAACTTTTTAGGAAATGAAAAGAGCTTTCTTCGAAAATTTGGTTGAAGAGATGTTGGAAAATTTCAAACACGCTCACCTCGACTGCTTTCCTCAGAACCTTGGAGACTACAGTGAAGACCAAGGAGAAAAATTCTATCAAGATGTAAGTGAAATAGAGAATCGATACCAAGGAAGATGGGATATCAATATGATGGCAGATTTCTGTTGGACACTAAAAAGAGAAACGAATCAGAATAGACAGAAGAGAAAGATAAACCCGCTGCATAGGTCATTCGAAGAAAAAATAGTTCGCTACAGGAGAAGAAAAGTATAAGAGCAACATCAACGAATGTCTGGTTGGAGTCAATCGAATTCATTTGGAAGTAATTCATGTCCAGGACATTTATTCAGGATTTTTTGGGATTCGCGATTTCCATTTTTTGGGATATTTTGCGATTTTTGTAAAATTTTTGGGTAATGAGACTCAACAGACTTTAAATTCAAATTCGACTCGACAGAATTTATAAGAAAAACACTTGAACCCATCTAGAAAACCGATTTCTAAATTTTTTGACTGTCGTTAATATGATTTTTTGCCATTTTTAATTATTTTTTTACGTTTTTTTTGCAAAATCTGTGGGAACTTCAGACTCGAATTTAGTATATCAAAGTACATAAGAAAAATAAGTTCAGAAAATTTTTTTTTTAATTTTTTTGCGCTCACTAGTATGTGATTTTTGGTAATTTTTCGCTAGTTTTGATGATATTTTGCAAAACTTGGGGGGGGGACGCAGCTTAAAAGACTTCAGATTTGGATTCAGCACGTCAAAATACACACAGATATCCACTTGATCAAGTTCAGAACAAATTTTTTTAGAATTTTTTTGCTCCCATTAACCTGATTTTTAGCGATTTTTCGCTATTTTTTTATCAATTACTCAAAATTTGGGAGTGTTTAAGCTAAACGGACTTCAGATTCAGTTTCAGCAATTCAAAATACATAGAACCTACTGTGTCAAATAAAAGGTACAAGCCATTTTTTTTTGTATCCCGGTGTTGTGATATAACAAACTGAAAAATTAATAGATTTATAAAGGACTGGCAATTAATTAATAATAACTATCGAATGTCGCCCTTATTATTAATTACAGAGGCCCACAAAGAAAAGTCTGTATAGTTCGGTCAAATTAGTCCTAAAAATAGTGGTCAAATAACGAAAATTCCGACAGAGCTAAATTTTGGTGGAGACCTTGGGAAACACCATTAGAAATAAAGTGTCAAAAGTCCCCATCGATCCCATGTGTGCTAAAAAAGTTATTCGGGGTCAAAGGTCAAAATTTGAGTTTTTTTTGATTTTTTTCGAAAACGGTATGTTTCATCAAAAAGTAGCCCTGACAAAAATTATAGATCTTAAAATTATCTACAAAACTGGCCCTTATACTTTTTTCCAAGGATCACCATTCCTGAGATATCGCGATTCTAAAAGTTGAAGGAGTCACGTTCTACATGATATGCATATATTTCCACACCACTTGTGAGGTAGTGTACTTTGACGCGTTTTTCGTTATTTGAAATGTCTATTTTGACGGGACTATGTGATGTAAACCGGGCCTTGTTATTGGTACACATTTTCGGTCACTATTTTTGAATCTTCTCTATTTTGAGCCTACACGTCAGGATTTTTTGTAAATCGTTAATTTATATATCTTAAAAAGCCCCTAAGGGTGACCGTAATAGTAAAACTAGGTATTTCCTAGCCCTATGACTAGGTTTGTCAGAGAGAGCCGCAATTTAATGGCGTACCAAGCGGGTCAATCGAGACATGTGCGAGCCGCTGCCTTGGAATGCTTTTCACGTTCACGCCACGTTAGTATACTGTTGCCTTAATGTGCGTTTTGGATACATTGTTATAAATTGTACTTAATTTAATGCTTATTTTCTACGTAATTTATTTTATTATGCTTCAAATGATGCGTACGCCTATGTCCCGCGGCTTAGTTCTGACAGCCCAACCTATGACCTTGAAACTCCCTAACCTAAACCCCATAACAACATAACCCTGAAGATCCGACAAATGGGTTCCAAAACCTTGGAATGGGACACTCCGTTGGGTTACTCTTTGTCAGAAACCACCATATGACCCCATAACCCTATGAAATTGGGAATGGAGTGAACAAGACAAAGAAATTAAATGTACACCATGTTTATGGTTGACTAACCTTGGAACCAAGCCTCAAGTAACCCTATAACCCTGCAACCCTTTATCAGAAATCACCACAACCTCATAAACGCAAAACAGAAGTCAGATTCAGATTCAGTTGCCGAAACTGGTATGCTTTACGGTGCCGACAATTTTTTTTATGGCCTGCGTTGTTCTGAAATGAAGACATTTAAAGTTAGACCTACGCTTACCCCTCATATCGCCCAGCCTCTCCGAATACGTCTTCCGCACCAGGTCCAGCAGGCCGTTGATGCCGGGCTTGATGGCGAAGCATCTCTGAAACATCCCCGCTTCGCCTTTGGCGGGGTACGCGTTCTCCTGGATGGTGTTCCTAACGATACTCTTGATGGCCGCGAACTCCTCGCTGGACAGGGTCCCCGCCAGCTGGACGAAGAAGGGGTGGCTCGATTTCGAGAGCACTTCCTTCAGGGGCGCTATGAGGTCGACTAGGATGTTCAGGAGGAGGATGTAGTTCAGGTGGCGGTTGGAACACTTCTGGGAGTCGTCGGTGACCAGCGTGCCCACGCTCAGCAGCATGTCGATGTTCGAGACTTTTTGAAGGAGAGCCTGCGGCGCGTTGGATATTAAAGTAGGTATTTTTTGCATCAGGACTTTAACTGTCCTTGAAAGACTTCGTTGTAAGTAAAAAGTTCAATTTCTCTTTGAATTCGAAGCCGAGGTCGAAATTTCTCAATTGGCTCTTGTTTTCGAGATATCCTAACCTAAAAATGTCAAAATCGCAATTTTTGACATATTTGAGGTTATGCTACATGGATAGGTAAATTTTTTTGCCAATTAGTACAGTCATTGAAGCTTTTCACCTCCGAATTCTTTGAAACTGAACCGATCGACTTGAAATTTGGCAGATAGTTAGAGAAAAGGTCAATGAACATCAGTGACATAGCTCCGATTGACGCTTCCACCCTGTTGAGGGTTGTTGAAATCCCTTCTCGGGAGTGAAAATTTTTTTCAAAAATAACTGGAAATCGATAGAGAATCAAATTTTGAGCAAAAAATATTAGAATTTTTTCGAGAAATCAATAGTTTTTTAGTTATTCACGATTGAAAACTTGGAATTTTGAGTGGAAAAAAACACTTTTTTAAAGTATTTTTCGCGAATAACTCAAAAACTACGCATTTTATTAAAAAAAAGTGTAATGTACAAAAATGTAGCTTATAAATAAACAAAAAAAATCGTTTTTAAAAAGTGTTGTACGTCCTATACAAAGCGAAATATGATTAGTGGAAGGGGACTTGTTTTGGGGGGAATACTCGATTCGATGTATTCAACGTTAAATAACGGAAAAAAAAATAATTTTACGTGTATAACGCTTCTGGAGTTTTTTGTAGTACTCAAAAAGATCTTCAAAATGAGTACTTATAAAAGTTAATTAGAGCAAAATTGAAGGAGTTGTCGTCAAAAACAGATGTGTTGCTCATATTTTTTAAGGAAAAATGAGCAGTAAACGCTGTACCATTTCCATTAGAATTAAAATTAATTGTATACCCTTTACAATTAGTTTTGTTTTAGTGTTTTTCATACGATCCTGAAGTTAGACCGGTTTAGAATGCTTTTTTTTAATAATGTACGGTAAAAGTTGAAAACGTATTTTTCATTATTAAAAAAATTGCCTTATTTATATAATAACTCTAAAACTATGAAAGATACGTAAAAATGTTAGACAACAAAAATGTAGCTTTTTTACGATCTTACAGCTCTTGAAATTATCTTTAAAATGTTTTTTTGTAGGATACTATAGCTTCAAAATTAACCGAGTTATGGTAAAAAAACCAATGACATTTTTTCGGAGCAAAATAGGCTTTCTCATGTTTATATATTATATTATACAAATAAAATAAGTAAAAAAATGTAGTGTGATTATTTATATGCAGCGTAGCAATTTTTTTTATGATTGATTATATTTAAAAATAGATTATAATAAGAATATTTTACATTAATATTTGTAAAAGGGTAGTTTATAAGAATTGAAAATGGCAAAAGTTAAATATTCTTTCATAAACGATATAAGGGAATTTTTATTTTAAATTATTGCACAATTATAGCATTCCAAGATTTAAAACGTAATTTTTTATCATTTTTTTAGCACAGGGGTGATTTATAAGGGTTGAAAAGTCTAACGAAATACAAATTCTTTCAAAAGCAATGAGGGAATTTTTATTTCAAATAATTGCACGGTTAAAGCATTCCAAGCTTTTAAAAAGTATTTTTTTATCATTTTTGTCAATACAGGAGTGGTTTTTAGGGGTTGAAAGGGAAAAATTATTTTATTAGCTATAAGGTAATTTTGATTTTAAATAATTGCTCGATTTAATCATTCCAAATGTTTAAAAAGTAATTTTTTATCATTACTTTTTGCGTAGGGGTAGTTTTTATGGGTTAAATAAAGGGTCGAAAAGATCAAATATATCATAAAACATGTTCGAGAACATGGAACAAAGGTTTTTATCAATAAAATGCTTAAAACTTAATTTTTTAAATCTTTTTCACTTAGGGGCAGTTTTTACCCCTAAAAAAACAAAAATCGTCAATTGAGCTTATGTCACTTTTGAACTTGAGCCTAAGATGAGCCTTATTCTAAATTTTCATGCAAATCCATGCAGTTTCAAAGAATTCGGAGGTTACAGCTGATTTTCAGCTTCAGTGACTGTACTAAAAACCTTTATTGGGGTCTTAAAGTCTTAAAATTACTCGTAATAGGATTTATCTCGACATCATTTTTCGTATACTTTGACTTATTTCTCGATTTTTGAATATACTCACAGCACAGCACCACAAACCCAAATTCATCGACACCCGGAAGCAGGGATCTTACATGTTTTTGGGGTCGCTGATCATGAATCTGAACCCCAAAATACTCTATCACGTCAAATTTTGCAATAAACTTAAAAAAATGTCTAAAAATTCTGTATATAGCCGACATTTTACGCATTATATCAACCTGGAAATACATTTACACGCTAAAGAGGCTAATACGCTCAATGCCGAACCCATAAATCCTAAGCCCAAAAACCCTAAGCCCATAAACTCATAACCTGCAAACCCATAAACTAAAAATCGATAAATAAGTCAAACTAAGCAAAAAAGTTACTTTTCCATGTAACATAACCCCAAATATGTCAAAAAATCACAATTTTGGCATTTTTAGGTTAGGTTATCTCAAAACCATAGCCAATTGTCGGCTTATGTTATTACTGGCTGTTTACTGATTATTGAGGGTACAATTCAATGCTAGTTAGGTAGTAATTTCGCGCAATATCAGTAGAATCTTGTCTATGGGGATGGGGTTAGATTGTCCGTCCGCACATGCCACTTAACGTTCTACAGGGTGTAAGAAGTTTGACTGCCATTATTTCTGCATGAGATAGAGTAATCATAAACGAACAAAAAAGATGTATATTACAGATACGTAAGATTAACAGTTTTCAAAGTACAGTGAGTATTAATATTAGGGAGCTTCATCACAACGTGACAACAGCGCTTAACCTGCTGATGCACAGCACGTGTGCACGCGGCAGACTTGTTCTACGGAAAAAATGTAAACAACTATTATTGTGAAACATTTAGTAGATTTCAAGACAATTGTTTTCCAGTTTTTAAATAAATAAAATAAAATGTATCGATTTTGTAGTACGAAGATAGTATTGTGCTTAAATTTTAGCTCGAATTTTAGTAATTATGAATCTCTTAAAACAGGAACTTAACTTTTAATCAAATTACGTATTTGAAAAATATGTAATTAATGTACCCAAAGATTCACATCGTCGAAATAACACAGCCACACAAAAAAAGAAAAGTAGTCTGTATTTTTCATGCGACATCTGTTATCTGTAGTATTTTTGCCTCCTGATCACGAATCCGGTGTCAGAAATGAACTATCACATCACATCACAGGAATTTCCTAACCTCAAAAAACAGATCAAAAATAGCAAAAATTCACGAGAAAATGTTAGGAAAACTAGATACATTTTTTTTTCTATATTCAAATATTTATTTATATTAAGAACCCGCCGAACGTGAATTAGCGATCAGAATTGATGGTTCTTTTTCTAACCTCAAAAAAACGGGTCAATTAAAGTCAGATATCACGAATTCTTCAAACAATTACAGATTCGCGCCAAATTTAGTATACGGGGGTTTTCTGGGTCGCTGATCACGTATCCGAGGTCAAATCTGCAAAATTCAAGATGGCGGATCTAATATGGCCGACCAAATTTTCAAAACATAACAGATTCGCATCAAATTTGGGATAAGGGGGTTTTCGGGGTTGCTGATCAGGAATCCGAGGTCAATTTTGCAAAGTTCAAGATGGCGGCCGACTAAATTTTCAAAAAATGACACATTCGCCCCAAATTTGGTATACGGTGGTTTTTGAGGTCACTGATCACGAATCCGAGATCAGATTTACAAAATTCAACCCGTGAATAGATCTTTTACAGAAAAAAGAACAAGATACAGCCGAAAAAAAGTAAATTAACACATGATTGGCGGGTACTCAGGTTATAAAGTAAAATATTACAAAATGATTTTCGCAATTCTGACCTCGAGTACGTAATCAGCGACCTCGAAAACCTTCGTATACCAAATTTGCTGCGATTCTGTTATTATTTGAAAAAATTTGGTCGGCCATTTTGTATCCGCCATCTTGAATTTTGCAAAATTGACCTCGAATTCGTGATCAGCGACTCCGAAAACCCCCGTAAACCAAATTTGCTGCGATTCTGTTATTTTTTGAAAATTTGGTCGGCCATCTTGGATCCGCCATTATGAATTTTGCAAAATTGACCTCGGATCCATGATCAGCAACTCAAAAAACCCCCGGATACCAAATTTGGCGCGAATCTGTTATTGTTTGAAAATTCGTGATATCTGACTTTAATTGACCCGTTTTTCTGAGGTTAGAAAAATAACCATCAATTCTGACCGCGGATTCACGTTAGGACCTCTTAACTATATAAATGAACATTTGAATATAGAAAAAAAAATTTTTGTATGTTTCCTAGCACTTTTTCATGAATTTTTGCTATTTTTTACCTGTTTTTTGAGGTTAGGAAATTCCTGTGATGTGATAGCTCAATTCTGACACCGGATTCGTGATCAGGAGGCAAAAATACTACTGATAACATATGTCGCATGAAAAGTACAGACCACTTTTCTTTTTTGTGTGGCTGTGTAATCATACGTATTAAAAATAATTTAGGTACTTACCAAAAAGCAAAATTCAGTAATTTTTAAACACACAAGTACAAAATAAACTACAACATATGCTCAAAATGTCCAACACCATTTTCGATGCACACACGACACCTTCGAATCCAATTTTCGCGCACTCGCTGGAAAACGCCTCAAGAAAAGGAAATAGTGGTACGCAAAAAACACTCCTACACGGTCGAATCCAGATACCAACTGAATTGCGTATTGGTGGTTGCTGGACACCTTAGTACCTCGTGTTGATAAACCGCCACGCCGTTGTCACATTGCTCGATATGAATTTTATCGAATTTTAAATGTATTACAACGGTAATTATTTTTTAGAATCAAGCATAAAGAAGTTCAAAAAAGTGATAAACATTGTATTTTATGGTATTCTACGCATGCAGTTATGTCAATATTCCTTTTAATTAATCGAACGTTTGTACATCAAGTTGGAAATTTTGATAATTTTTTTCTCGGAAATGGTTGAGTTTAGAACCCATGTCATACAAGGTTTTTAGGTTTATTTTTATGTATTCTATAGTCTGTTAAAATTAAGGCAGTCAAACTTCTAACACCATGTATATTATTGGTTGTTCTAGTCATTGGTCAGATTTACCTGGATGGAGAGCAACATTTTAGGATGCCTTATCAGTTCTGCGACAGCGTTCTGACGTTCCTCGATGTACGCAATCCTACAAGGCGGTTGTAGAATCGAAGAACGCAGGGTTCTGGACCCGATTTTGGTGAGACAGTGGTTCAGAACACCGAAGAGGCTCGAGTACTTGTTGCCCTGGGCGGGCTTGGTGCTGCAGACGAGTTCCAATCTGTCTGCAGTAGATACGTCTAGAATATGATTTTTCGGTTACCAAGCAACATAATCTTTTCGAATTTTACGTTTTCGTGCAAAAACAGACTACCAGTGGCGCATCCGGGCGGCGGGGCTCAGGGTAATGGAGAAATTTAGTAAAATTTAATGGTTTATTAAATTTTATGTGACCCGTTCAATCAGAAAAATAAGATTGTATTCTCTTATCGAGTAAGTAAAAATTTAACAATATGTTAGTGGCAGTTCTTGACTTCTGTACCAGGGAGGCCGAAAAAAATTAGGTACAAAGTGTTGCAAGATAAAAAAATTAAATATAATAATTGGGTATAGTTTTATTTTAAGTATTACTATTGAAATATAGGGAAAATGTGTTCAACATTATTTTTTATACTGAAAGTCCATTCTTCTGCTTTTATCTCAAATGACCTTTTCAATTATTTTCCCATTAAAGTTTGTTATTTCTCACACAATTGATTTTTCAATAGATAGCATAAATGTTAGTCTGTCTTTATAACTGTCTGTTTTCTATTATTATTATCATTATGAGCATTATGATATTTATAATACCAAATTTGTTATTCTCATCTTATTTTTCCACAAAAAAAAATTATTGTAGTGAAAAAGCAAACTTATAACTTGCTTTAAACAATTTTTGTTACATTTCCACCATACTTACTAATGATATTTAATTATAATCTTCCCGATCTTAATTGAAAACCAAATAGCTTGGCGGTATGTACCAGCATACATTGCCTAGCAGTGCAGTGCAGCAATGCGGAATTTGGTGTGATTCAGGTAATTTTAATTTATTATAGGTACCTTCTATTAATCATTCATATTTAGAAAGGGAGAAATAAGAGGGACATTTTGTTTACTAATATTATTACAACATGGCATTTTGGAGACCTTTTGAAACCGAATAAAACGAAATACTGCCAGGCAGTATTGGATTAGTAGAACCGGTTGTTGATGAAACAGATTTAGAATTTAAAAATAAAGATTTACATGTTCAATGTCAACGTCTCATTTTAAATATTTACGATTGTTTAAAAAAGGAAGAAAATTAAAAACGAGATAATGAAATTATTAATAGAAATCACATATTAACTAAAGTTTCAATGTCCACAATTTTTCGTGTTGCGTAAAGAGAAAAAGAAAACAAAAATTTAAAAATATCGATGACATGACGAGAGACGTAATTCGGCGGACAAATTATAATTTATATAAAGAAAACTGAGGACGTAAATAATTAAAATATGTTGTTGACCAAATGAACATATAATAGAAATTTTCTAGTCATTATACAGAGTGTCCCGAAATTCATGCAACAAAATTTGGTCACAGATTCTTAGGACAAATTTAGGGGACCGATATTTTTTATTTTTGCCAAGTGGTCCCCTCTTTCGGAGTTACAGCCCCCTGAAGTCCGCTCCTAAGAATAATCTTTTTTTATATCTCAGAACCCTGTTGTACGATAATCACTAAATTTGGTACACAGGGGTTTTATGACATGTGGAATCTGATGGTGCTACGTTTTTTGGCGGGGAACCCCCTTAAGACAATTTTTTCGTGGCCCCTCTTGTCTTTGGAGTCAAAAAAATTTGGTTGCATATTTAAATTTTCTTAAAAATTATCAGTCCACTAGAAAACATTGCGTTTTACGAAACAAATATCAAGAGACAGAAAAGTTTATAAATTCAATGGCTCTCTAGCTAACTAATAATTTTTAAAAAAATCAAATTTGCTACCCAATTCTTCTGATTCCAAAGACAAGGGGGCCCACGAAAAAGTGTCTTAAGGGGATTTCTCGCCAAAAAGCGTAGCACTGTGAGATTCCACATGTCATAAAACCCCGGTGTACCAAATTTAGTGATTCTCGTACAACATGGTTTTGAGATATAAAAAAACTTCTTAGGGGCATATTTCAGGGGGCTGTAACTCCGAAAGAGGGAGCCAGTTGACAAAAAGAAAAAATACGGGTCCCCTAAATTTGTCTTAATATCTATGTCTATGTCTATGACCAAATTTTGTTGCATGAATTTCGGGACACCCTGTATACAAATTATTATTATTTTTTTACCCTTAGCTGAAAACTTGTTTAGGGATGCCCATGAAACTCATTAAAATTTATTGCTAGGCGTTTTTATACATGTGAGTACATAATTTTTTCTGATATTATTTTTCTTTTCAATAATGTTTAAATTTCTGTGACGTCTAGCATGGGAAAATGTTATGAACAAAACAAATGAGTTCTAGGTAAAGTGCCCTCTAGCGGCACATAATCAAAGTTTTCTCCGACTAGTCCAATAGAGCTTGATGTGCCAAATGAGACACAATTGGACATGAATTAAATGTTATATAAAAATAAAAATAAAAAAATTGAACTTTGACAAGCTGTAACTTACAAACAATTAACAATTTGAAAAAAAATTCATTACATACGGTTACTATTTTAATCCTTAGAATCATTTCCCGGAGTTTCCTTACAGACTTTCAGAACACCCTGTATATCTATATCTTAAAACGCTGTATGTTGCTGGTGGTTACGTGTGTGGCACATGTTTTCTGACCACAAAACCTACACTTTTCTAATAAAAAATCTCAGAGTAAAAAAAGTTCGCTTATTTTTTCCTTATTTTCCGGGAGTAATAAGAAAAAAAGCCGCGAATAGCTACTATTTGGCTACGATCATATTAAACAGAATCCAAACTGTACCTATAGTAAATATATGCGCTACTCCCACTCCATCTTTCACTGCTGCACGACGGTAACCATGACCACCGCTGTAAACACTTTACAGAAGTAGAAGCGAGCTAAGCGTAACCCAGGTATTCAGAGTTGAATTGAGTTAAATTGACTGCACATTACAAATTTAACATTTCCTTTTCAATGTGTTTCATAATGATAATCTATTTAATTATCCAGATAACATTGTAAACTAAATTTTAAATTAATTTTTTTTACTACGAAAATTTCTTTTTTATTTTTCTTGAAACGACGAAGAACATATAATTTCTTATTTTCCATTACCCTGTCATGCCACCCTTTACCCGCCACTGGTAACAGAGCGCACTAATTCAAAATATCGGCTTACCTATTATCGCATACCCTTCCGACTCCTGGTAGTCAATCTTAATAGAGGCAGGCGCATAATAAACAAATAAGTTGTCCTGGACATAAGTGACCAAGGCGGATGCAGCAGCCAGAGCATAATATCTAGAATACAATTTGCTTCAGAAAACCTGAACGGAGGACAAAATGTTTTGTTATGTGATTGATACCTATGCTGCAGAACCAACAAAATCGGGTTTAAACTGGGAATACAAAGATTGGTCAATATGTCCATCCCACTGGCCTTGTTGAACGTGTTTCTGGGACACCCGGTATATTTAATCCTCGGAAAATGTTCCTTTACTTTGTCTATCAGTCGATTCCCGGAGAAGCTCTCCACGAACGTGAGCGGTACTAGAATCTGATGAAAATTGGGAATGTTGGATAAATAAATGTTGGCAAGGCCGAAACCATAGGCGTCGAATCCTCGAGGTTCTAGGTGCTCAAACGTATACAGTGATTTCATTTCAGATGTGTCAAAATGAGAGGAGCACCTTCCACCAGAAAATTTCACACCACTATTTTGTACACTAGAAAATTCTCCCCCCTCTATCTTCATGCTAATTCATGTGAAACAATATGAAAAAATTAGCTCTGTAAACCATTTGGGTATGTATCATCATCCCTTTGATAACAGTATATAAAAATTTAAAATTTCAACATTTCTCCTCTTCATATTGAAAGCACAATCTTCCAAAATGTTCGCTAATCGCTTAACAATCAAATACTATACAGGGTATTTCATAACTCTAACGACACAAAGCAGGCACTTGTTGAGGATCTTAAAATATGCCGATTTGTTATATAACATTTTTTTCTGAGATGTACCGTTGAAGAGATAATGGCCTCAGGAATGTTAAATTTTGAAAAACAATAATATTTCAGCAATGCCTTAACATAGAGCAACCAAATTTGGACATGATTTGCGTTTATTGTTATCTTTAATTGGTAAAAATATGAATTAGTTGGAAGCCCAATAAGGGCCGGACTAAGGGTAGGGCGCCTTTAAAATGAAATCGGTTTTTCTTGAATAACTTTTAAAGTACTTAATACAATTTAATAAAAATCTCCTAAAACAGGGTCCTTGAAACATACTTAGCTTTTTTAGTTTACCAGGGACGGGCTAAGCTTTACAACTTAATGCCTAAATTTTTAACACCCTGTATGAAAAACTTTAAAATAATAAATCTAGGTAGCTTCAACCTTAGGCTAAAAAAAGGTACTCTTGTTTATTGTCAATAAAATGAACCGTTTACAAGAAAAAGAAAAATAAACGAATTCATGTTTTATTTTTAATAAAAAGGGCCATGATTTCTATTTTTTTTTCTCGACAACAAAGTGACATCGCTAACTCATTGACCCTTTACATTAATAATTTACCGATTTTTGGATTTCGTGGTGAATTTAATTGTGAATTAATTCGAAATATGGAATACACGTTTATTGAGTATGCATCTCATGTCTTGCGTCCAACGTCTAAGGGAGAATGGCGATTCCAGTTAATAAGGTAATACATATTATTAACTTTCTTCATATTTGTAGGAAAATTTGGAAAAAATAGTACTGATACTGGTTTGAGAAAAACTGTACGTAAGCCGCAATTAAAGGAAAATATTTTAATTGCTGTAGAAGATACTCCATCAACGAGCACTCGAAAATTCACAGTTTAATACATGGAAAAAACATAGTAGCTTGAACAGAATCCGGCTCAGGAGACTCATAACGGCACACTGTCACTTTAGGAATCTACATAAGCTAAAGCTTGTAGACAGTCCGGTCTGCCGAGGATGTGAATCGGCAGATGAAACTTCTTTGCATATCCTGGGCGAGTGCCCGGGATTTGCACATAGCAGAATGGCGCTCCTTGGGGACCCTATTTGAAACCCAAGGAGCTGAGAGAAGTGTCAGCAAGGAAGCTTTTGGACTTTGTAAAAAGTACAAATCTACTTGCTGAATAGGACTAGTAGTGGGACGCACAATAGGCCTAATTAGGCCGCAGTGCTATGGGACTTTTAAAGGACCAACCACTAGATGAAGATGAAGAAGATGACGAAGAAGGGGGGGTCTGTACGAAAAAATTTTATAGGAACTTGTCTTCTTATTTTTTCATGTTCTGTCTGCACCCGAGAGATTTGCCACATTTTCCTCACGGCAAAGTTTTACTGTTATTTACGGTTTGAGCACCCAAAGCAAATCAGAGGTTGCGACGCCTATGATCGAAAATAAACCCACCTCTTGCGGATTGAAAATATTAATTTTCGTGAGTGTATTTATGTAGCTTTGGGTGTCGGATATCTGACAAAGTATTAACAGTGGTTTCGATACGTTTATGGCGGCTATCCCCACTTCGCACCTAGCTTCTCCTCTGCCCTCCGTAAGAGCTAAAATAAAAAAAAAATCGACGAATATGCTACACGACAAAAGCAAAATATGTCCTATTTACCAACTACGATCCTGGAATCCTCCTCAAATGACATTTTTGAGCTACCCGCAGACTTGTGGACGGAAGAAGAATTCGCGATACTAAATGTAAAAAAAATCCAAAATTTTGCATATACCCATTTAAAATTTTTACCTACCTAATGTGACTTTTCCCCCAATTTAAATCTGATGAAGGAGTATAGTCCTTCTTCTTAACCTTTGGAGTTAATGGAGGACCCATATCTGTAACTTGATTAACTTTGAAATAAATTTTTGAGAAAATAAAGTTTGCTCTTTGGCTAGTATTAATGAAACTTCCTGTAATACTTTAACCATTATTATCTAAATTGTAAAATATTTATTTTCAAATCCACCTTACCTAATATTAGTCATGTTGAAAGAAAGATATTCTCTTTAGAAGCAATAATAAATAACACGAAAATAATGATAGAAATATTACTAACATAAGAACTAAATATAAAATCGAAAAGGATGAGTAGGTACCTAGTACAGTGAGCAATAATATAAAATTAGATACATTTACTCATACTACTCATAGGGGTAAAATGACTAAAAAGTTAATTTAAAATTTGTAGTTAGGTAGTTACATTATTGTATTGAAATTTAAATGAGATTTTTAATTACCTGCAATAAAAATTGTATTTATTCATCATTCAGGAGCATTACACTAATCATATTTTACAAAAGACATAAAATACATTGTTACTTTATATACAAAAATCGCGTTATTAAGAATTAATTCATTACTTAGATACGTACCAGTATAGTTTTTGTTCCTACCACCTCTTTTTCCTCTTCCTCGTCCGCGACCGATTAAAAACTCGTTTAAATTCATTGTTGCCGCCTTTCTAATTATTTATTACGAATCGCACTGATATCCGTGGAAACGATATATTTTTAATTAAGCTAGGAAATAATTATTGCAATTTGACATTAGCAACAATGAAAAACAATTGCAATTTATTATCAGTCTCATGGCTTTCTTCCAAAAAATAAAAATTGAATTCGACACATTGCACATCTACGCTGTTACTACGTAGATGACCCACATATTCAGAGGCTGTATTTCTAGTTGCCTATATTAAGAACCCAAAATCTATAAATTAATGGGACTAAAAAAGTTTCATAAAAAACATTTTTTTTTATTAATCTACTATTTATTTTAATTAACAATTATACGATTAACATTGTTTACTATATCAAACGTTTGTTACACATTTATCTGCGCAAATGCACGCACCCAGTTCGTATATATGATCAAATGCATGTATCAGGAAGTATGAATAGTAAACACGTTTATTATTTACTTTGTTGCTCTTCTGAATACGTAATTTGTAACGTAATGTTCAATATCAAATTCATAAAAAACTAAGGTACTGTTTACATAAAACATCTTCACATTAATTTTATATTTTTACCTTTATACGTTTGCATTTGCGACTGTGACAGAGTATTTTATTTTGTGGTTTTTAAAAGAGGGTTCGCCGATAGCTTCAATGGGTTTATGTGGAGTGAAAGTGTTTTAAATAACTTGCCGGCATCTTGAGAACTGTAGATGCGGCTTAACGTTTCTCCGTTTTCGGTTTCGCTCTTGTATTGTTTGTTGTTGGGAAGATGGCGCCCCCTATTGGAAAAGAGATCAAGACTGATAAGAGCTGTCTTGCACTAATCACAGCGAAGCACCTTCTTTAATCAAAGGTGGCCATGGCAGTGCCTTAATTTATAACACAGCGTTTGACAAATGGAATGACGAGTGTGCCGTGTCTGTACCATTTTAAAAACCATCTAAAAACAATAAGAAAGGCTGTGAATCAACTAGAATTTATGTTAAATGTGTTGTGTGTGCTTTTGTTTTGCGTCCAAAGTGTTTAAATATGTGTAATGTACCGCCAAAGTTTTATCAATTGTGTCGTTTGTGTTTATCTTTTGATAAGGAGAATGTTCTATCTATTTTCGATAAGGCTGCTGTGGACAGAAATATCCCTAGGAAAATCATGACGTGTCTGTCAATTCTGGTAAGATGATTCATATTTTGATAACGAGTCATATCTGTATTTAACCTAATCACCGAGGCAGTGCTCCGTTTCTTTTGTTTTGCTCTTAGCCAGGGCCTATTTATTTCGAAGCATGGGTAGCAGGACGCAGCTGCATTGGATCGGGGTTATTTCGGGACATTTTACAGCCCATAATGATATAAATAATATCAGTTTTTTGTTTTAAAAACATCTGCTTCGCGTGGGACGGGAGGATGCATTGTATATTTGATTACAGCGGGCCAGGCCATTCATCAACCACGTCTTTGATGTACACCTGGTTGTTTTGCCTGAACGACTGTGAACAGAGAGAAAGTTTGGCAAGAACGGGAGATGTTCAGATAAGATGAACTCACGGTGATAACAAAAGTTTTCTTTGTGTGGTAAATAAAACCGCTCACTCTTCGACTACGAAGATATCGTGCCCACAGACCGTTGTCTGTAATTTCTTGCAGCAAAAACGGGGAACAGCCCGAGACAGTCAGGCCTGTTTCTTATCAGAATTCGAGATTATAAAAACTTGTACTTCGTATCTACCAATAAAATATTCCATTCTTCTCGGCTACGTAATATTTAATGGCCTCCACGGAGTTATTTTCGTTGCTTAATTTATGCGAAAGATAAGAGATTACTTCTACAAGTTTCCCATTACCATTTTTGTAATTGTTATTATAAACTGTGTAGATATGTTATTTAACATGGCTGGGATGGCGAATACCAATTAATCGCTGAAAAACTACAATATATTGCATTTTTTTTCACTCTAATCTCGAGTTAACCGGCGTAGGAAATAATTAAAAGAATATAAAAATGGTTAAGTCCGTTTCCACAGCGATTCTGTAATACCCAAGTTTGTCTCGAGTGGCAGGATATTCTTGTCAATTAATTTTATCTAACTTTATTGCTTTCTAATTAGCTGCCAAAACGAATGGGTTGCCACATTTGCCTTAAAAGTGTCATGAATGAAAAACTGATAGGTATATTATTAATAAAATCAGCAAAATAGGTTCATAAAATATGAAAGGATAAAGTTTTCACTTTTATTCATTATCCCCAAAATAGGAGGTTTTGCTATGACAGAAAAAATTTTAAAAGTTGTAGGATGTGTTAAGTATCGTTATCCCTAGTGTTATCCTTTCCAAAAAAAAAAGTCAAAATTCACATTTGGGGGAAGCCACGTAAATAATACTGTAACGTAATTATTTAACAAATTAGGTATTAGTTTTATTTATAATATAATTTGACGTTCCGACACTTAACTTTTAGCCTTTAGCAAAAATTACCTATATAGACCTAGACATTTTATTATTGATCTGAAACACGGTAGATTCTAGCAACACTTCGGACACTTTTTGAATTTTCTTTGAACTACACCACCCTTTGAATTCGTTGTAGCCAATCTCGTGCTGTCTTGATGATTTTTTGGGCACTAATTGTGAAACTGCATTTTGTGCGGCTTCCAATACTTCCCCTGGTAAATGCTCGTCTTCACTTTCCGGGCTCGTTTTGAATTAAATACTATTAGAATATGAATTACAAAATGTAATTCTGACACTACTTTTTCAAACAACTAATTTGTATTGTTTATTAGGTCGTTATCGTTACGATAGCTTGCCAAATTAGAAAGAAATCTCTTCATCTGTTTTTTTTTGTAATAAAATTCAAGCTTCAAATCCTCTATCTTGAAACCTAAGCCCTTTTTTTTTTTGTTAATCTCTGAAGTATAATTCAACACTAGGTATGAAATGTTTCCACAACAACTAAAGCGACTTTTAATGGTAAAACCGAGGGTAAAACTGTGATTAAATTTAGTATAAAACTCAACAATCCTTCAGTTTTTTATATTAAACTTAATGCAGACTTGAATATTTATATTTTATATAAGAAAATTAAACTTCGATTTTAATTAAACTTATTAAACTTGGGAAACAGTATATCCGAGGATATATCCTTCGTTTTTTGGCGTGAGTTTAGAAAACGTGTGTTGCAGAGGAAATCATTAATTAATTAATGATTTCCTTGATGGCGAAATAATTGGTGATGTCGAAGTATATTAGTTCTAAAAATATAAAAATTTAAATGTCAAGTCTTCTGAATCACAAGTAGGTATCTCTGATATGTCTGCTAAGTACAGAATCTAAAAATATTAAATGTTTGAATATAGGCAACGCTGGTACCAATTTCGATCTTATTCTAGCGGTTTTCTAAATTTTCTATAAATCGCAGATGTTTTATGATACGTCATGTTTTATGTTAACATTCCCTCGAAAACATCCATAAAAATGTTACTTAGGATTGGTTATAATGAAGACCCCATTACCATTTCGAAAATCGTATACTTATATCCAATAATTTTTTCAGATTTCTATTTAGTAAAACATTAAATATTTGGGAAACTAACGAGCGAGCGTTCAAATAAAATCGTGGTCGAAATTGGCTCTGTCACATTGGACGTAGGGAGTAGCTTATAGCGACCAACTTAACCTCATTTCTCAACGAGCTGTATAGTCCAATTAACTAAGCCTTTAAATCGAAATTTTGTCAACTTGGCTGAATTTTTTATATGAGTTAGTTTAAGGTATATTATAACAATAAGTGAGAGTAATTTTTTGTTCAACCCCCGGCCAAGGGTGGATAAAACAAAGGGCTTTTTCAAGATAACTCAAAAAGGGTAAGAGCTAGAAAAAAAAGTTTCATGAAAGTTGTAAAGCAGACAATTCTACATAAAAATGGTCTCTTA